AAGGTTTCTCTTTAAGCGTAGTCCTTTCATTAGCTGGTTTGGATGAAGCAGCCTCAGCAAAGGGTGATGGAGTAGGAGTTACCAACACCAAAGCCTTCAAAGGAGAGGTTGAGCTTTTCTGAGAAATCCGAATAAGCCATCAGCACATAGAAAAGTTCCAAGTATAGAAAGGTATGCTTGTGAGTAAACTAATTTAATTACCTTTCTCCTGACAATAAGAGGAGTGTCATCATCATCATTATCATCATCCTCCAAAACGGGAGATGCTGAGGCTGGCCGTTTGCGGTTTGGGGCACTCTTAGCTGCATTAAGCTTGGCAGGAAGAGAAGTAGATGGACGAACAGGCTGTTTAGCACGAGCGGGAGAGGAGGGACTCCTAATGGACATAGGGTGACCAAAATGGGAGAAATGGAAGAAATGTCCGGCTGATCCAGTAAATGGAAAGCGCGATTGACATCAGTTGCAAACAATCTGCGCTGCACTGATGGCTAGAGTTGTTTAAAAAGGGGATGGATAGCATGGCAAGGATTGAAGGGAGCTAATGAAAAGTTACTCGTCAAAAGAATATTGCGAGCATCTATAACTTCTGCCTCTGCCTTATTAATGGCGTGGAAGCGATCTATCAAATTTCTAGAATAACAAGGGGGAACATGCCAAATTTGGCCAAAACCACGTTGACGAGCAAAAAATTGGGGAGCATATATTTCAGCCCCAGCTTTAGCATTGGTTCGAGTCAAAATATCATGGAATAACTCCCTCCCGGTCAAAAACTGAACCCAAACGAGCAGAGAGGTGCTCGCGCTGTCCAGAGTGGATGGGGGTTGCACATAATCTGGAGTTAAAAAGGGAGGAAAAGGAAAGAAAGAAGGAATTGAATTCAAAGTATAAAAGAGTGAAAAAAATGTCCCTTCTGGACATATTTACAGGGCTCAGTGGGCCAATAGCTAGCCCATAGCAGCTAGCGGAAGGAAGGGAAAATGATAGAGCACCAAGTGAGGGAAAATAGGCTCTCAACCACATTTGAGTGAACCAAAGAGGCCCACTGCCAGCGGGAAACGCACCATTCTTCAATTGGAATTGGAGAGAAGCCATGCCTCTATAGAGGGTAGCCAAAAAGAAATAACACAAATTCAGGGGCCTGCCACGCGCCAATTCATGAGCTATAGGTAAATATCTCATAGAATGCTTCATGCTTGGCACACACAGAACATATTTACAAAGTCAAATCTGAATAAAGGCCACACGCTCAGCATGGAAAGGCTCAGCACTCGAGTGATTATAACAGCTTTGCAGGCTTTAATAGGACTCGGTGAGTTTTCTGTCAAATTTTGGGGCGACATCAGAAATCAAAATATCAGGAAAAATGGTACCATCCAATGGTGGCAAATTTACTAAGGCCCCCAACATCCCTTAAAGTAGTGGATATGAGACCAAGAGGGAAAACAAAAGTATTATACTCAAAGGACCAAAAACTTAATACAATAGAGAAAAGCGCTGAATTAAAAATAGGGGGTTGAAGAGAGATTTCTAACAAATCAGAAATCCTAGCACTATCAAAAATTGCTTTGGTAGGACCATGGTCTACAAGGCGAGCATGCCATCTACGGAAAACGACATCAGATTTAGACCAAGTACGAATACCTCTTTCGCGAAGCGGCCTCAGCACAAAGAGTTTAGAAACGGAGGGCCTTGAGTACAAGGGAACAGCTAGCCCACCGCCACTTGTTCGACGGCCTCGACGTTGTTGAATGAAGGACCTAGGTAGAACTCATTGAGTTCGACATTGGCTGGTGCGAAGAAGTTCGGAGTTATATATGGCCGAGTGAGGATCTTCTGGAAGTCTTCAAAACTGAAAGAGTCGTCAGATTGGGATTGTGAAGCTGCCATTAGGAACGAAATAAAGTTTTGTTGAGGTTTGCTTGAGAAACTTAGCAGAGAAGCAAGAAGATGAACGGTAATATTGCGAGAGAGAAGCGCAGAACAATGAGACGTGATTTAGTAGTGCGATAAAATGGCGTGTATTTGGGGGTTATAAGGGTTTGCAACATCGCACCTTTTCAGTCTATGGAAGAAGATAATGATTGAAATTCTTGAGAATTTCAAATGTTGTTGGGAAACACAAAGTGAATATGGCAAAAATTAATAAGTGGTATTAATTCTGCCATATTGGGGGGTAATTGTTGACATGCTAAAAGTGCAGCTCAATTCGAATAATCCAAAGAATGAAGCCCAATTGGGTAATTCAGGATGAAAGCCCAAATAGGGTTATTAATGAATGCAGTGGAAGCCCACGAACGCGGTTACACCATCGCCCAAACTTACAAGACACCCAAGATCTGAGCGAATGAAGTGCCTTGCAGTCGCCCAGAGTTATAACCCGTTCTCGCCCAAACCTTCGAATCGCCCAGGATCTTAGCAAACATAAGGTATTATAGTAATCCAAAAGTACAGTTATTGAAACAGTTATTGGGTAATCTTATCAGGTCCCACGATTCAAGAAGTTCAGTTGAAGACGGTTGGACGACAAAGAGTAGTGGCAGCATTTAGAGACGGCAGTTCCATGATAAGTTGGCCACCATGAAGAAAGTGGGCAGTTATAAAGCAATTGAGCAGTTTTTAAGCGGTTGATCACAAAGAGAGCATCAAGGGAATATAAAAGGTAGAAAAGACATAAAACAAAAGACCCCGAATCAAACACTCTCAAACAGAGAATATATAACTTCAATTTCTTAGTTTAGATTTAAGCTTTTTTTTCAATACTCGCGTGCTTGCGCCCCTTGGAGGCATTTTGTTTAAGTTCCAATTGTAAAGTTATTGCCAATAAAACACCCATTTTTGGGACTTTGTCTCAAGAGGTTTGTTCCTTACACAATCATCTGATCCCTTTTTAATTGTTAGCGACTACCCACGCGAAACAGTGACATTTTTATCAATAGTGCTATACGTACATGAAAGAAATCACAAAACTTGTGCAGGTATTCAGAAAAAGTGGCGTGGCTAAGGGGAAAAAAAGGGTAAACAGTAAAGAAAGAAAAAGGGGAAAGACTTACCTAGTTATTTCTTTTCCTTCCATTTTCCCCTAAAAACCTGGCAGAGAAGCCCGTTACTCACCTTTCTCCATCTCCAGCCAACTTTCGACTACCCGACCAGTGTTCATGTCCGGCCATAGTGTAATCATGAAAGCCCAACAAAACACGAAATCCCACCACAGTTCTCTCATGCATCGTGACATTGTAAACCTTAATCCTCAAATCCAGATACACAGTTGGTCGAAACTCCCACTCGCCATTGTTGACCACTTTAAGAGTCCAACTGAAGCGTGAAGAAGCAACATCCATTTGATTTCAGAAGTTCGAGCAAGGAGTAGTTAGCGTGCAAATGGACGGCCTGTTCAAAAGAAAATTCGAAAATCTCTTCTTTTTCTTCATTTTTCTGTTAAGGGTGATTTTAATAGTGCGAAGATGATTTTCAGAATATGTGGAAGTGTGGGTTTGTGTGGTTTTTGTGGGTTGTTACATACAAAGATTAGGTATGCTTTATCTTAGCTTGGTCTAAGGATGGCTGTGAAAGAATTGTTAGTCGATTGCTCTTGATGTTCCACAGAGTCGAGAGGAACTGAAGAATTAAAACTCACGTTGCAACAAGAAATTCACTGCATTGTGGAAGAATCTTTTAGTCTTGTAAATGTTTAGCAGCAGGCGTGGTGATGGTTTTGCCCGGATTCATGTTAAGAATTTTACTTCAGTGATGTGCATTCCTGTAGAATGTATAATGGATGTAATGTGCATTCTTGGTAAGAATTTTAATTCAATTGAAATGTCAAGATGTTGTGCCTTCTGGTTTTAATGCACCCATCACCTTATGCTTAAAATGGTGTTGAATGAAAATTTTCAACTTAAATTGGTGAAAAAATCAAGGCAATCTTCACAAAAGATGAGTAAATGACCTCACCAATACATAAACATTTGTTCATAAACATTAGGATATGCAAATCAAAGCAATCGCCAATACATTAATTTTAGCAAGTTGGCCAAGAAAATTCATACACACTAGAAGGCTCTGTACACCACCAAATACCAATATATATCAACACATTGATAGGTTTTAATTGATCAACAAGCTAAATCATCATAGTGGAGAATCTCCATTTCTACTTCCTTTCCAGGCTCAACAATTTCTTCTTCTTCCATAGTCGACATCTTGCTCCTCCTTATAACTTCCTCAAGTGTAATTGGAGAGGGTTTCTTTGTCCTCGTTATCTACAAAGTCTACAGTCTCAACAACAACAAAATCATGCCAATAATCATTGCCATCTGCAGCATCTCTTCATCTTTAGTTCTTGTCTCAAGACATTCTAGTCTTCTCCCAGTTGGTGAATTTCTTCTCAATTCACAGAGAATCGAGAAGTGAAATGAAATGGGTTTGGGAGTGCAGGTGGTGTCGGCGTCAGCCAGTGGTGACGGTGAGTGCTTGGCGTGGGAGCTTAAGGCCACTCACGGTTGCGTAAATATTGGGGAAAAAATTGGAGCACGAATGGATTTTTGTTTTTTTGGCGAAGACTACAGATTTTCTGCTCCCACTCGAATATTTTTATTCAAGTGAGCCCATTCATGTGAGTGGGAGGACACCATTATGTACTTCAAATTATGTACAATCATCTTTATCCCGAAAAGCCTAGTGTACGTAAGGTATTATTCTATTTTTATATACAAATAGTAAAATCATTTGAGCCTGTTTGGGCTCGATTTTTTTACCCAAAAAATTAAATTTTTGACTGTTATTTTACTACTTCAGTAGTCATATTTGACTTTTTCTCTTATAGATGGACCCCACTTTTCTCCTAACGGTCAAAAGATCAATTCTCAAAATCACTCCCAAACAGACTCTTTATTTTGTATGCTCCTTGGGGTGTGTGGAAGCCACTTTGGGCAGGAGCCCATGACTTCTTGGGCTTATTTTCAAATACTAGGCCTTGCTCCATTTAACGCCATTGGCGGGAATTCAGAAACAGAGATAAAATTTCACGCAGAAAATTCAGAAAAATTCCACTGAAATTGCCAAAATATTCACAGAATATGAGCGATGGAGAAATTCTCTCCCGTTCTTCCTCAATCCCACTTGACATTAACTCCCTTCGAAGGTTCCATTTTCGCACACACCTATAGATAAATACATATTTTTACATCTATATACGAATATACGTATCTATTTATATATTTATTTTTCTACTTATACAGTTTTGATTTAATTTGATTACAGTCGAATTGGGGAGCTCAGAGGTTTTTATGAAAATTCGTATAATGGCGCTGAAAATAGCCTGGAGGAGACGGATAAATTACTGAAGGAGTGTGCTCATGAGCTTGAGGTAAATAACTCGAATCCCATGTCCTGAATCGCCATTTCTGTAAAATTCAGATATGTAGTGTTTCAGTATTCACATTTTTAGGCGAAATTTCAACGGGATATATTTTGCAGAAGAAAATCAATCAAGTAGTCTCGGAGTCTTTGCAATTAAGCTTGTTACCAGATGAAGACCTAGGTAATAAAGGATTTATTACTAATTATAATTTTTTTGTGGGGTTTTCTGGTAATGTTGAATAATAAGTGGTGTATATTTAGGTGATCTTTTTCAGCGTTTAAAGACTGAACTAAGTGCAGTGGAGGGTGAAAATGCGAAAATTGATAGTGAAATCGATGAGCTTACGAGGATATATATGGAAGGTGGGATTTTTATGAGGTTATAATTACTACCGCTGTCCCATTATTATTATTATCAGAACTTCACTTATAGCATTGACTTGTCTATATCGTGGAAGATATTGTATGCCATTTATTTATTTACATGTAGCTTGTGCCTTTCATGCTATAAAGAAATAACTTTGTTGGAAACTAAGAAGTATTGAAAAATGCTGGAACATTCATATTTGTAGCTTTCACAAAAACTGACACTCACAAGCATTCTAATTGTGACAATAGCAACGGACAGGGAGAATCTTGCTGTGATTGCTATAAAATTGATTATTTCATGGTACTTAATTTTATTGGTTATTCTTAATAAGCACATTGTTATTGCTATTGCTGTTACAATACTGTGGTAGATGATTAATGTTTTTCATGTTGCAGATTATAGCAATTTGGGCAGTGAGCTAGAGGGAATAAACTGTTCACTGAATTTCATTGAATCGCAGGTTCGTGCATTTACTCCAAATATTGACCATGCTTGATAAGTAATTCTTCGACGTCAAAGAGCAATTGCAGTTTATTTATGTATTGAAACATTGGTTTTGGTTGGTTATCCTGACATAAAGTAAGAAGGATTCACAATTGATTAAGTAGGGGAAGGAAGGCCTAGTTCAGTTCTGTTTTTCAGAAAACAATTTTGGTTCTTTTCATAGAGGACCAAGTGGTTCTCCGGAAAGAAGATTACAGAACCGGGCTGATTTGGTTTGGTTGTGGTCAGATCCAGTCCATTTCAAATGGTTGTGGACTGGATTGAACTTTTATTTACATTAAATTACAAAATATGTTATATTTGCAGAGGTCAGGTCTCAACAATTCGCCTCTCTCCGTTCTCCATAAATGCATTTGTTTATTGGATTTTTCATCTGTGATACGTTCATATGGTGCCACCTCTAAAAATGTACCTTTCATTCTATTTCAAGCTTCTAATGTATTAAAAATTTGTTTAACACCTTTTGGAATGATGCCTCATCACTTGGAAATTCCTAATCTACTGGACAAAAAAAATTACTCAGCACAATGTGATAAATATTATAGTAGAAGTGCTACACAGATATGTTTAATGTGAATTGAAATTAAACCTTGTTTCTTGCTTCCCCACCGTTAGTGCGAATCTTTCCAGTTCGTACCGCTCTTGATCATACATATTCTTTTGCATGGAAGACATAACCGAGAATTACTATACCACATTTTACTCCATTTTCAATAAAACAGCGAAGAAATATATAAAAAGGAAAAATGCAAATCAAATGATATACAGAAATCAAAATCAGAAGTCAATGGCCATTCTTCTCTGCTTTCAAATCTTAATACTTCCAGTCATTTACTGATCCCTTTACATCTTAGTTTCGGGTCCTCAAATTTTCATTCAACTAGAGATAATTTAGAATGTATATTAGGAGGTAAAGGTAGCCAACTTTTTCAAAGAGGAAATGCAATCAATCTACTTATTAACAATATCCTGAAAAGCACTAATGACTCTTCTATTCTCATTGCAAGAAATCATCCCAACACCAACTGTATGCAACCTCATCTCACCTTCAAATAAAGGTCCACAAGTTTTAAGAGCTCCCAATTTTTTATTTATTTTTATTCATCACACACCAAACATTGACGAAGTAATACATCTGTATGACACGAGCCAGCTGGGTTGGTAGGTGGTTAGAAGATAATATGTGAGGGTACCAAGAGAATTGAAAGTTGCGAAGAGAGAATGCTATGGGAATTGGGAGGGGTGAGATCAGAAATGAAATTTAGGGCTCTGGGAATTGCTTTTATGTTATATTCTGGATAAGGTGAGTACAATTGCACTGAACAATCAAATATGTAACCAATTTGGTTTTTGGTTCTACAAAAAGAAAAGAAAAGAAAAAAAACGAGAAATGGACCGATCTAGCCCGTTCTTGGTGTCACAGAACAAAATTTTAGTTTTTATTGTCCGGTTATAGGGGATTTTGCCCACCTCTATGGTTTTCTCTTTTGTATGCCAGTTTTGTTGTGCAACAATGGAAATATGGTTCTAGTCCCCGTTTGGCCCCCATTTCTTAGGAAATGAAATGGATGGAATAGTGTTTTTTTGAACAATGAGTGGTTGAAAAAAAAAGTTTTCGATTTACGTATAATATTATTTTGTATATGATTGTGTGGTTAAAAATAGGAGAGAGAAAAATATAATGTAAGGGAATGAAAATTAATGGGGGCCAAGCGGGAGCCTAGTAAATCATTATGACTTCGGATTTTTTTTCCCCGTTCTCATATATGGAAGTTTGATTTGTGCCATAGAAATTACATTATTGTTAAGGGTTTATTTGGTGAGTGAAACTAAGCCCACGATTGGCCCCCATTTTCTTTTTTTTTTTTTATCTCTTATTTTAAACCCGCAATCTTCCATAAAATAATATTACATGTAAATTGAAGACTTTTCATTCTTTTTTAACCATAAATTCTTTAAAAAAAAAAAAAAAAAAAAAAAAAAACTATTCCAACCTTTAAAAATTGGAAAAAATGGGGGCGAAATGGGGGCTAAAATTCAAAATGTTATTTCCTAAGATATGGAAATAAGTTGGAGAATTCCAAATTGCAAATGAGTTTTCAGAGTTTGGCCCCCATTCAAAATAGAATTCAGTCCTCTCATTAGAGGGGGGAACATGCTGAATAAATTGTACTATATGTTATAAGGATAATTCATTTCTTAGAGTTAATTAATTCCTTCCCTGAATATGTACAAAGTCTCATGGCCAAGGGTGGATTTAGTATGGGGGCAGTGGGGTCAGTTGCCCCCACACTCAACTCCCAATGCTTTCATTCTTATTTTAAATTCCTCGTAGTTATTGATTTTGCCCCCACAATTAAAATTTTGTACTTCAAGATTTTGCCCCCACAACTCTACAATCCTAGGTCCTCCCCTAGTCATGGCTTGTACTATTCTCAAAAGATAAAAGTTAGTTCCTTAAACAACTATATTTCTTGGATATTCTATTCCTTATCTATATGCGCCTTAGCATTTATTTCATCCATAATCTGCTGTTAATTTTGTTAGATATTTACTATGTTGTCATGTATTGCAGAGCCTTGAGAAAGCAAAAAGCGATATGCTTACAGATTGCTGTGACCAAACAGAGGATGAAACAAACATGTCTGCACACAAAGACACAAAATTTAAGGTTCACCCACACCTATGGGTCTTGATATTTCTATGATTTTGTAATTAAGATCCAAGATATAGCTTTTGAAAATGGAGTTTAACACCGAAAGATTAGACCAGGAAGTATGTATCGAGATCTGATAAATAATGAACTTAGTGCTCCTAATACGGGGCTGTGTGTATGTGTTGCTATAATATCAAATCCAAAACTTTTTCTTATTTTTTAACTACACATTCTCTATTAATCTACTATTCCAAAATGCATTCTTAGATTATAAGGGGGCTCAAACATGTGCTATTATGTCTTATTATGATTTATAACGTACCATTATCGTTTATACATCTGGAAACTAAAAACTTTTGGTGGTTTGTGAGTGAGAGGGTAGGTTTTTCGGGGTTCTAGAACTTTTTCCTGTTCGTTTCAATATATTTCTGTTGGAAAGAATTGTTTCATGAAATTATATTCTTAATTAATCCCATTTCTTAGTATTTTTCTCTGTTGGCATGTGAAATCCATTTGTTGAGTAAAATATCTGACCTCTGACCTTTGACCTTTTTTTGTTTTCCTTTAAGATGCTGGAACTCAGTCATCAGATTGAGAATAACAAGATGACACTGAAGTCATTGCAGAATCTAAACTGCATTCTTGAGAGGTTTTCTGTCTGCTCAGAAAATTTAAGAATATTCGTTTTCCCTGATTTCTCTGACAGCTTGATATATATATCTTGTGCAGGTTTGAAGCTGTAGAAAAATTCGAAGATGCATTGACAGGTGTTAGAGTAATTGAATTTGAAGAAAACTGCATTAGATTGTCGCTGAAGACATACATTCCAAATTTTGAAAGCATTATTAGCCAGCAAAAGATAGAAGGTGCCATCGATCCATTAGAACTGAATCATGAATTGATAGTAGAAACTGTAGATGGAACCTTGGAACCAAAAAATGTTGAGGTGAGGCTGCTTTTAAAGTTTTGTGAAATGGAAGAAGTTTAAACTTATTATTGGTTGTCACTCTACAGGATTTCAGAAATAGGTTCATTACTTCACAGAACTTACTTGAAACTATTGGAGCATGATCTAATAAAGAACATTAAAATCCCTTTAAATTTGATAATATTGAAATATTAAATAGCATTGAACTGACGTTTTCTTCAATAGCAGGTTCTTAAGAGATGGACCACCCTGGGAAAAATTTTCACGTTCCTTTCCTTAAATCCAGATGTCAGATTATTCTGTCATCTATATTTATTCCCTTTTTACCTTAAAATATTCATTATGACTTCTTGATTGTCAGACATTTGGATATTTAGCCTTTTTATCACAGGGTTTCTGTAAACCTCCAATCTTCTATGCTTTGCTCATGGCATGTCTGCTATTGGCATAGAAGTAAAACATTCTAGTAGATATGTAATCTGCAAAAAGCAAAGTGTTAATTGCATTAAGTCTGTTTCTTTAGTGGCGGCTTGGTTACCTAATACTCCATGGCATCTAATTGGCTTGCTGCAATATGATACAGTTAAATTAAATACCATCTTAATACGATAGGATATCATGCTATCATCCTATAGTTGAAAGACTTGTACTAGCGTTCATTATATATCAAGACAAGTTTTTAACTTTAAAGTGTCTGTAAAACACAAATTGTCTTCAGGGAATATCCCAAAAGCTGGTAAAATAGAAACCCAAAAACCCTTGGTGTGATTATTTATGTCAAGTGATAATTATAAACTTTAATGTTGCATCTTCTATTTTGTACTGTTTCTGCATGTTTTTTATTTTTATTTTTTTTAACTCCAATCAAAGACACGCAATTCTCAGTATATTACCTTAATTTCATTGTTATCTGAGTAGTTATAGTGTTTTCATATTTCCATTTTGACTTGTGCAGATTTTCCCAAATGATGTATACATAGGCGACATTGTTGACGCTGCGAAATCGTTCAGGTTTTGTGTTCTTTGATTACTTTATATATGATTAAAGTTCTTCTATTCTCACAAAGCTGTAAATTTAAATGCGGACTAGAAACTTTTAGGGAAATCTAGATTGCTTCAAAGATCACAGTTTTTAATATACTAGATAGTTGAAACTCATGCAGGACTTAAGTACAAATGATAATATCATATAATTGGAAAAGTAGTTAGTCAATGGTGCAGCCTATGAATAGGATGATGATAATATCAATTGTTTTGGTGGCAACGATGCCAATGATTAGGATAAGGATGACAGTGGTGGTGGGATGGGAATAAATGATTCATTTCGTATTGAACATTTGGGTACTAGGACCAGTTTTTGTATGATGTGAAGAGTTTTTTGGCTTTTCCCCTTTTAACCCTTGAAAATGTTTTTAGAGAGAGCCCTATACCATTTTCTTTTGGTCTTGTTACATCCTTTGCCCACGACGAATGGAAGCAAGAGATAAATAATGCTTCCACCAGGTGGCCACACAGCCTGCCCTGCTGCCACAAGGTCCAAGACCACCATGATTTCATCCAAGTTTACATGACTGAACTAAAAAAGGAAAATACCACTACTGCTACTTCAACCACAAATGGGGAAGAAAAGAACCCATCATTTCAGCCAACAATCACTAACATGGTCACTGCACAAATAAACTCGACAGAGAGTGACCACCAAACCCTCCAAAACCCCATTATCTCCACCAGTGGCACAGCCTCCAAATCATCCTCGTTATTGTCCAAATAAGCACCATTACTATTATCACCTCCACACTACCAGTTTTACAATCAGACAAGAAATAGAAGATTGCCCTACAATGCTGCTACCTCACATAAGCACTGTTACCAGCAAAGCCAGCTAAGAATTCAATTATATTTGGTTCCCCCAAATTCCTAATAGCATCAGAAAAAAAGAAAAAGAAAATCCGATAAACATCAATTAAACCCATTTTTTAACACCCTAAAAAGGGAAGACTACCATTCTATGTTAAATGGAGAAACTTACCATCTTTGACCATTAAAGGTGGGAAGAGGTTGCAAAATGGTATCAATTTGAACATTATATTTTCAAATTTTCACTAAAGCCATGGGTTGCTAGTGGCATTATTGGTTGGCATTCACAGTGAAGTTTAATAAAGACAGATGTCTAGTCAAATACAATGTTATTGTCTGAACTGTAAGTGGTTAAGATTTGTGCAATGCATTTTAGTTTACAATAGCAGAAATGGATGATCAATATTACAAGAAAAATCTCCAGTTGAAAGTAGCTTTGATAGCTTTGTTTTGATTGCCATTCATTTTTATGCAAAGGCAAGGATGACCTTGATATAGAGATTTAGTATAGGAATATTCGATAGCTTGCACTATGATATAATCAGTGGCCTTAACAGTGAATGGTGAATCAAAATCCATATAATGGACTAACAACAGTTGAGGTAAAACTTTATATAATGAACTCGTACCCTACATAATTTTAGCTTCCAGTTTTCCACTCTTATTAACTCATCTCCTAGTATGGTTGGTTATTTGGATCCCATTCTTAATCCTAACTTGTGATGCGCTTTCTGTTACCCTCAAGGAGATCCTCAAATAAAAACAAATGGAACAAGAAATATTCAATTTTTTACGAACACCTGTGCAATTGCCTTCAGATTAATATGTGTCTTCCATCACAAGATTATAATAAGAATATAAGTGCAGGAAATACATATACTTTGGAAATTATAGTAAGGCATTCAAATTAGGGTCAGGGTTAGCTTCTAAAACTACATCAAGAGGCTTTTCCCCTAAGGTTTAATATCAACTCAAACTTTAGTCCACATCTTCTGTATCATTTTTGCCATGTAAGTTCTAATGCATAAATGTATAATTAATTAATGTTTATCCCTCCAAGGTTGAGCATTAAGACAACACACATCCAAATCCATGTCCAGCCTCTATGTTTCATATGCACGACTTCAATTGAAGAGTAGAATTTGCATGGTTTAACCATAAGAGCAAACAACCAGGGAACATAGAGGCTATGCATCAAAAGTTCATACTGAGATGCAATGAGGGTTCACCTTAAGCAAATATAACACTAGTGTTATTTTTCATCCAAAAAATAAATAAAAACCATATGCTTCATTCTTTGTTCATTTCGTTACTTGTAATTGGTTTTATTTCTCCTGGAAATTTGAATTATGTGGTGTCCAGGCAACTTTTTTCTCCATTGTCAGTCAACGACAACAGGTCTTCTTTGGAGTGGTTTGTAAGAAGGGTACAAGATAGAATTTCTCTTTTCTCACTTAGGCGATATGTGGTGAAGAGTGCAAATACGTCGAGGTCAGTCATTATCCGCACTTCATGTTTTATTGAAACTCTGCACTTCAAAATTGTGCAATTTCACTTAACTTTAGCTGTTTGATAGATTATATTATAACCTTGTACTGAACTTACGGAGGCTTCTGAATTTGACTTGCCTGAAAAGATTCTCTCCTAGTTAAATCACACATATTAATTGAAAATGAAAATATTTTGCAAATAAACATAAACTGTTGCAATTAGACAATTCATCTTTCAAATCAATGGACATTTAAGTTTTCATTTGATATGCAACCTATAAAGTTATAATGTCTATGCTGCGTGAGCAACCAAAAAAAAATAAAATCTATCTAGCTCTGAAAACTATAAAGTTAGAATAGCTGATGGATCCTTATCTACAGTAGTCGGTAAACTTGTAATTTGTTCTCCACCAGTAGACTTACTAAACGAAACTGGAATGCTACGATGCAAGCCTGCAGACACCTCCATGGATCCAACATGTAAAGTTGGAGTGAAAGGAAGCTCTCCAGTTGTCAAAGGAAGATACCTAAGACGTTTAGGAAAATTGATATATATTTCTCATACAAAGACCAAACTTTAGTTTCTCAGTAAGTGTGGTTAGGAAGTTCATGAATAACCGAATAGAGGACCGTCTTGATTCTGTATGTTGGATCCTCATATATCTAAAGATGACTCCAGTAAGGGCTTGTACTTTTGAAAAGTTACAAACAGGAATGTTGAAATATTTCCAAATGCCGATTGGGCTGGCTTACTTGCCCACAAAAGATCTACCTCTGATTATTGCACTTATGTGAAGGGGAATCTTATTATGCCCCTGTTTGACAACCATTACAACAACACTTTTTTTTCTCAAATTTATTTTCAATCATATATTCTCGCATATAATATTTTGCATGTAAATTTAAAACTTTTGCCTACTTTTAACCACATTCTCCATCTAATCACTATACCAAAACTCATTTTCCCCTAAAAATTCATTTTAATGGTTGTCAAACAGGGGCTACATGGTGAAGCAAGAAACATCATGTAGCTGCAAGAAGTGATGAGGCTGAATTCACGACTATGGCACACAATATATGAGAAGGAATGTTGCTGATAAGGTTACTTGAACTACTGAGAAGTCAATGAATATGTTATGTGGTAATCAAGCTGCAATAAGAATTGCAAAGAACCGAGTCCATCATGAGATATTAGCTAGATAGAAGGGTGCATCATGAGAACTATTATGCTAACTCCTTTGTAAAAATGTCCTGAGGTACTATACATCCATCTAGTACACAGTACATGCCCATGTACACCACAAACACTTACCTGTACAAGTAGTGCTACAACTTGTTCGTTGTTAAGTCATATTCTTGATCTAGAAGTAGCCAATTCTATGGTGCTTTACGTTTTTGTGTCTTAGAATTCTCATTCCTGTTTCTTTTTGTGCAATTTCTTGTTATTGATGCAGGCACTCCATCGAATACTTGGATAGAGAAGACATGATAGTAGCACATATGGTGGGTGGGGTTGATGCTTTCATAAAGTTGTCTCAAGGCTGGCCGTTCTTAAACTCAGCATTGGAATTAATATCACTCAAGAACTCGAGTCAGTCCTCAAAGGAAATTTCTTTGAGCTTCCTTTGCAAGATTGTGGTGAGTAGTCTCCCTGCTCTCTCTCTTAATCACGACATTTCATTGAACTGATGAAATAAAAATTGGTTTTGCAATTAAATTCCAATATTTGTTATTTTGAATGTTGATCAGGAAGTGGCAAACTCGTTGAATGCTAACTTGCGTCAGAACATATCGAGCTTTTTGGACAGTATAGAAGAAATACTGATGCAACAAATGCGCGAAGAGTTAGTGCCTCGAAGTGACTTTCTCAGTCATGCTCATTCATCATGCTACAAACTACTCTAGACTAGATGGATCTCCGCCTTTGCTAGTTAGTATCTTCTAGTTGTTATTACCGAATAACTTTTGTTAAATAAGCTTCATAATGAAATTTGAAGAAGACAACCAATTTACGTGTTTAGTTGTGTTGTTTGTTGAAGCAATTTATTTAAAAACCTATGTCATTTCGAGAGTTTACACATGACAACCTTGAAACTGCATTATAGTTGCTTCATTTCATCTTAAAGAAACAGCCTTTTTATGACATTCATGTTCGAGTTTAGGCAATGTGTCCAATAGCAAGAGAAATTATATAGTTGAATCTGCTTGTGGAATGCTGAATGCTATGTAAGTTAAATATCGGAGACTTTTATTGGATGATAGTCACAATAAAAATTGAAGCAGAGAATTATACAAGCTATACTATGTAAGATCAGAAGAAACCCTCAAAAGAATTGAGAAAACAAGAAGGTAAAGAATATAAACTACACAGATGTAGTACAGAGACCTAACTAATGCTCAAGCCTTAATATTTCCACACCTCTGGTTCCTTCGGGTGCCTTTTCCCCATGGGTATTCTTCCGGCGTTACACATTGTTAAGGATGTGCTCCCAATTGCCTGAATCTCAATAAGGGGCATATCAAATGAAAACATAGAATTATCCATCAACAATGAACTGGTCCTCTTGATTATCTCATCCAAGTTTACATGACTGAACTAAAAAAGGAAAATACCACTACTGCTACTTCAACCACAAATGGGGAAGAAAAGAACCCATCATTTCAGCCAACAATCACTAACATGGTCACTGCACAAATAAACTCGACAGAGAGTGACCACCAAACCCTCCAAAACCCCATTATCTCCACCAGTGGCACAGCCTCCAAATCATCCTCGTTATTGTCCAAATAAGCACCATTACTATTATCACCTCCACACTACCAGTTTTACAATCAGACAAGAAATAGAAGATTGCCCTACAATGCTGCTACCTCACATAAGCACTGTTACCAGCAAAGCCAGCTAAGAATTCAATTATATTTGGTTCCCCCAAATTCCTAATAGCATCAGAAAAAAAGAAAAAGAAAATCCGATAAACATCAATTAAACCCATTTTTTAACACCCTAAAAAGGGAAGACTACCATTCTATGTTAAATGGAGAAACTTACCATCTTTGACCATTAAAGGTGGGAAAAGGTTGCAAAAAGGTATCAATTTGAACATTATATTTTCAAATTTTCACTAAAGCCATGGGTTGCTAGTGGCATTATTGGTTGGCATTCACAGTGAAGTTTAATAAAGACAGATGTCTAGTCAAATACAATGTTATTGTCTGAACTGTAAGTGGTTAAGATTTGTGCAATGCATTTTAGTTTACAATTGCAGAAATGGATGATCAATATTACAAGAAAAATCTCCAGTTGAAAGTAGCTTTGATAGCTTTGTTTTGATTGCCATTCATTTTTATGCAAAGGCAAGGATGACCTTGATATAGAGATTTAGTATAGGAATATTCGATAGCTTGCACTATGATATAATCAGTGGCCTTAACAGTGAATGGTGAATCAAAATCCATATAATGGACTAACAACAGTTGAGGTAAAACTTTATATAATGAACTCGTACCCTACATAATTTTAGCTTCCAGTTTTCCACTCTTATTAACTCATCTCCTAGTATGGTTGGTTATTTGGATCCCATTCTTAATCCTAACTTGTGATGCGCTTTCTGTTACCCTCAAGGAGATCCTCAAATAAAAACAAATGGAACAAGAAATATTCAATTTTTTACGAACACCTGTGCAATTGCCTTCAGATTAATATGTGTCTTCCATCACAAGATTATAATAAGAATATAAGTGCAGGAAATACATATACTTTGGAAATTATAGTAAGGCATTCAAATTAGGGTCAGGGTTAGCTTCTAAAACTACATCAAGAGGCTTTTCCCCTAAGGTTTAGTATCAACTCAAACTTTAGTCCACATCTTCTGTATCATTTTTGCCATGTAAGTTCTAATGCATAAATGTATAATTAATTAATGTTTATCCCTCCAAGGTTGAGCATTAAGACAACACACAGCCAAATCCATGTCCAGCCTCTATGTTTCATATGCACGACTTCAATTGAAGAGTAGAATTTGCATGGTTTAACCATAAGAGCAAACAACCAGGGAACATAGAGGCTATGCATCAAAAGTTCATACTGAGATGCAATGAGGGTTCACCTTAAGCAAATATAACACTAGTGTTATTTTTCATCCAAAAAATAAATAAAAACCTTATGCTTCATTCTTTGTTCATTTCGTTACTTGTAATTGGTTTTATTTCTCCTGGAAATTTGAATTATGTGGTGTCCAGGCAACTTTTTTCTCCATTGTCAGTCAACGACAACAGGTCTTCTTTGGAGTGGTTTGTAAGAAGGGTACAAGATAGAATTTCTCTTTTCTCACTTAGGCGATATGTGGTGAAGAGTGCAAATACGTCGAGGTCAGTCATTATCCGCACTTCATGTTTTATTGAAACTCTGCACTTCAAAATTGTGCAATTTCACTTAACTTTAGCTGTTTGATAGATTATATTATAACCTTGTACTGAACTTACAGAGGCTTCTGAATTTGACTTGCCTGAAAAGATTCTCTCCTAGTTAAATCACACATATTAATTGAAAATGAAAATATTTTGCAAATAAACATAAACTGTTGCAATTAGACAATTCATCTTTCAAATCAATGGACATTTAAGTTTTCATTTGATATGCAACCTATAAAGTTATAATGTCTATGCTGCGTGAGCAACCAAAAAAAAATAAAATCTATCTAGCTCTGAAAACTATAAAGTTAGAATAGCTGATGGATCCTTATCTACAGTAGTCGGTAAACTTGTAATTTGTTCTCCACCAGTAGACTTACTAAACGAAACTGGAATGCTACGATGCAAGCCTGCAGACACCTCCATGGATCCAACATGTAAAGTTGGAGTGAAAGGAAGCTCTCCAGTTGTCAAAGGAAGATACCTAAGACGTTTAGGAAAATTGATATATATTTCTCATACAAAGACCAAACTTTAGTTTCTCAGTAAGTGTGGTTAGGAAGTTCATGAATAACCGAATAGAGGACCGTCTTGATTCTGTATGTTGGATCCTCATATATCTAAAGATGACTCCAGTAAGGGCTTGTACTTTTGAAAAGTTACAAACAGGAATGTTGAAATATTTCCAAATGCCGATTGGGCTGGCTTACTTGCCCACAAAAGATCTACCTCTGATTATTGCACTTATGTGAAGGGGAATCTTATTATGCCCCTGTTTGACAACCATTACAACAACACTTTTTTTTCTCAAATTTATTTTCAATCATATATTCTCGCATATAATATTTTGCATGTAAATTTAAAACTTTTGCCTACTTTTAACCACATTCTCCATCTAATCACTATACCAAAACTCGTTTTCCCCTAAAAATTCATTTTAATGGTTGTCAAACAGGGGCTACATGGTGAAGCAAGAAACATCATGTAGCTGCAAGAAGTGATGAGGCTGAATTCACGACTATGGCACACAGTATATGAGAAGGAATGTTGCTGATAAGGTTACTTGAACTACTGAGAAGTCAATGAATATGTTATGTGGTAATCAAGCTGCAATAAGAATTGCAAAGAACCGAGTCCATCATGAGATATTAGCTAGATAGAAGGGTGCATCATGAGAACTATTATGCTAACTCCTTTGTAAAAATGTCCTGAGGTACTATACATCCATCTAGTACACAGTACATGCCCATGTACACCACAAACACTTACCTGTACAAGTAGTGCTACAACTTGTTCGTTGTTAAGTCATATTCTTGATCTAGAAGTAGCCAATTCTATGGTGCTTTACGTTTTTGTGTCTTAGAATTCTCATTCCTGTTTCTTTTTGTGCAATTTCTTGTTATTGATGCAGGCACTCCATCGAATACTTGGATAGAGAAGACATGATAGTAGCACATATGGTGGGTGGGGTTGATGCTTTCATAAAGTTGTCTCAAGGCTGGCCGTTCTTAAACTCAGCATTGGAATTAATATCACTCAAGAACTCGAGTCAGTCCTCAAAGGAAATTTCTTTGAGCTTCCTTTGCAAGATTGTGGTGAGTAGTCTCCCTGCTCTCTCTCTTAATCACGACATTTCATTGAACTGATGAAATAAAAATTGGTTTTGCAATTAAATTCCAATATTTGTTATTTTGAGTGTTGATCAGGAAGTGGCAAACTCGTTGAATGCTAACTTGCGTCAGAACATATCGAGCTTTTTGGACAGTATAGAAGAAATACTGATGCAACAAATGCGCGAAGAGTTAGTGCCTCGAAGTGACTTTCTCAGTCATGCTCATTCATCATGCTACAAACTACTCTAGACTAGATGGATCTCCGCCTTTGCTAGTTAGTATCTTCTAGTTGTTATTACCGAATAACTTTTGTTAAATAAGCTTCATAATGAAATTTGAAGAAGACAACCAATTTACGTGTTTAGTTGTGTTGTTTGTTGAAGCAATTTATTTAAAAACCTATGTCATTTCGAGAGTTTACACATGACAACCTTGAAACTGCATTATAGTTGCTTCATTTCATCTTAAAGAAACAGCCTTTTTATGACATTCATGTTCGAGTTTAGGCAATGTGTCCAATAGCAAGAGAAATTATATAGTTGAATCTGCTTGTGGAATGCTGAATGCTATGTAAGTTAAATATCGGAGACTTTTATTGGATGATAGTCACAATAAAAATTGAAGCAGAGAATTATACAAGCTATACTATGTAAGATCAGAAGAAACCCTCAAAAGAATTGAGAAAACAAGAAGGTAAAGAATATAAACTACACAGATGTAGTACAGAGACCTAACTAATGCTCAAGCCTTAATATTTCCACACCTCTGGTTCCTTCGGGTGCCTTTTCCCCATGGGTATTCTTCCGGCGTTACACATTGTTAAGGATGTGCTCCCAATTGCCTGAATCTCAATAAGGGGCATATCAAATGAAAACATAGAATTATCCATCAACAATGAACTGGTCCTCTTGATTATCTCCTTCGACTCGTGCATCACCATGAACCATACCGTTTACATGGTGCAAGTTCTGAATCATCTGTGGTAAATAATGGCTGCTAGCTCCCGTGTGATCAGAGAGCCCCGTGGGATGACTAGTCCACTGTGAAACAATTCCAAGCAGCTGATTAGTAAGATTCTGTTGTTCATTAAGTATTCGAGCCTGAATCTGGCCCATTTCTGCTCTGTGTTGAGTTAGCATATCGTCGATCCTCTTCTTCCATTCTGATCTCCTTCGACTCAGTTTCTCTTCCCATTCCCGCCCATTTAACTCTTCCTCTCTTCTTCGCTCTCTCTCATCAGTCTCCCTCTTCATAGCTTCCCAGTCTTGATTTCTATGCCTCCTCAACTTCTGAGCTTTCTCCCTCTCTTCTCGATCTTTCTCCATTTCTTCCCATTTCCTCCCACGTTCACGCTCATTTTCCATGCGAAGATGCTCTCTCTGCTGCTTCTCCCGCTCTCTCTCCACCTCACGCTGCTCAAATCGAGTTTCCATCTCCCTCAAGTTCCCTAATTGATTAACAAGACATCCCCATGCACTCTTCTCTAACCCTTTTGCCACCTTTCTTTTCCTCGTATCTGATCCACTCGGTTCTATATCTTCACAAACAAATCCGTCATCTCCATCTTCTCTCATTGGTATATCACTTTTATTACCTCCATTATAATTCTCTTCACCCTCCTCTGCCTCATAGTCGAACTCCAAATCCATGGCCCCATTATCAACCCCATCAATCCCAGCTGCGAAATCCCCCTCAGCCGATTGTCCCAAATGCCCAAATTGTGCTATTTGGCCGCTCCCCTCGAAGCCTCCTCTATTCTCATTCACCTCTCCCACAGCCACCATCGAATCATTGCCGCCGAACATTAATGGCACATCCCCAAACACCTCCTTATACCTAAGAAAATTGGACCAGTGTGTCACCCCCTCCATCCAAACGAATTCCTCACTGCCTCCCACCAATGATTCAGGCTTCTTAATCTTCTGCTTCACCAAGGCATACTGGTGCCTCATGTTCTGCACTTTGGTTGACACATCTTTCCAAGTCCACAGCCACGGGTACGTGGCCGGGTCTCGGACATGGTGAACTGAATTCACATGTAAAGCAATGGGCTTGTATTTTTTCTCTCGAGTTTTCATCTTAACCAAAGTCCCATTACACGCCATCTCACCATACTTGTCTATTAAAGTCCTTTCCTCAGCCTCAGTCCACTTCTTTCTTCGGGGTTGAGGCATCATCCCTTAGAACAAACTAAAAACAATCAAGAACTGAATAAAATCTCAAGAACCTAAGATCAAGATTCTTAACCCTAACAAATGATTGTATAAGCAGATTCCTCCATATGTACGAAGAATCAAGAAAACGGTTAAGAGATGACCTCGGGAGAAATGGCTTCAATGGTGTCTTGAAATTGGATTGAACTGAAACTGGCCCCAGGGTGGGCGGTGAAGAATATCGGGAAAGTTGGGGGAATTTGTGATGAGGGAGAAAGTGGACTGTGCTTTCATCGTGGAGTGGAAAAGGGAATCAATATATTTGGCAGTGGCAAAATTGGAAAATAATTTTTGTGTCCAAAAGTTTGGAGTTAATTGTTCCAATGGTCACTGAACTTTGATTCATGTCTTTTATTGGTCACTGAAATTTAAAATGTTAAGTTATGATCACTGAACTTAGGTTTATATTTTCGATTGCTCACTAAAGTTTTAAATGTCGAGTTTTGGTCACTAAACTTTGAAAAATATTGTACATTACTCACTGAATTTTGAAAAGTACTGTACATCACTCACTGTAAAATTGATATTTTTCAAAATTCAACAGTTATGCTAGTGAGTAAAGTACAATATATTTCAATGTTCAGTGGTCAAAACTCGACATTTTAAATTTCAGTGAGCAATCTAAGATATAGACCTAAGTTTAGTGAGCAATCGAAGACATTGACCTAAGTTCATTGACTAAAACTTGACATTTTAAACTTCAGTGACCAATTAAAGACATCGATCAAAGTTCAGTGACCATTGGAACAATCAACTCAAAAGTTTGAATGTGTGTATATGGTCGAGTTTGTTTCAAAAACAGTCATTGAAGTTCAAGTGAGATTCAAATTGGTCGCTAAAGTATTTTTATGACATATTTAGTCATCAAAGTTACTTACCATTACATTATTGGACACTTATCTCTTGTCAATATTACAATATCGTCAAAATAAATTGTAATTTCTAGAAGAAACAGCTTAACGTTGCCAAAAATTTCAGATTGCCCTCTTTTATCCTAACTTTATTTTCCTTAAATTATTATACAATTAAAAGGTCTGAGCTGAAATAAGAGGCCAGTTCGAAGGAATTGATTGTATTAATGGTTGTTAATTTTTTTGAAGGTTTAATTGTGACTACGTTGAATGTGGCGTAACAATGTTGATCAGGCTAATAAATTGATCAATTATGTAACATTATTTAACTTTAATCACTAAATTTGACGTAAAAATACTTTGATAATCGACTTGAAATTATGTTTCAAATTTAATGACCATTAGTCAAATTATCTCTATATAGTCTATCATGACAAAGTATAATAATTTATTTTGATTAATCCAAATCTTTTTTAAGCTAGATAATATAATTTATTAATGAAAATTAATCCTTGGTTTTTCTTGACATTTTGTGTACATAATTAAATTACAATTTCTTAGTTTTTCATTCGAAATTTAAATTTCTTGAACTTTTACCAATTTTAATTTAATTAATGAATAGCTGTAACTAATTAGTACAATGTGCTGACGCATTATGGCTGGAAAAGAATCTGATTGCCTATGGGCGAAAAAGGACAGATAATATTATTTCAAATTTAATAATTTGGGAATATTCTAACTGCTGTTTCCCATTTCCACTATTCTTGTGAAGAACTATATGTGGAAGAAATGGGTTACTAGTCTCTTTAATATTATGAGTCTTAAACCTCTCAATTATTTTATCAACATAATGAGTTTGAGATAAGACTACTCCATTTGATGTTCTAGATATCTTTATTCCTAGAATCACGTCTGCTTCACCCATATCTTTCAAGTCAAAGTTATTGGTAAGTATATTCTTTGTTCTATTGATGACTTCTATATTAGTCCCTAATATAAGCATGTCATCAACATACAAACATACGAGTACGTATGCCTTTTCAAATTTTTTCGAATATAAGCATTTGTCACATTCATTTATGATGAATCCATTCCTAATCATGACGCTGTCAAACTTTTCGTGCCATTGTTTAGGAGCTTGCTTCAAATCGTATAAGGACTTAACTAGTTTGCAAACTTTGTTTTCTTGTCCTTTCACTATGAAATCTTCTGGCTGTTCCATATATACTTCTTCGTTTAAATCACCATTCAGGAATGCAGTTTTAACATCCATTTGATGTGTTTGTAAGTAGTACAAGGTTGCAATAGCAATTAAAACCCGAATAGAAGTAATTCTTGTTACTGGAGAATATGTGTCAAAGAAATCAATTCCTTCTTTCTGACGATATCCTTTTGCAACCAGTCGAGCCTTGTATTTGTCTATTGAACCATCAGATCTTAACTTTCTTTTAAAGATCCATTTGCATCCTATTGGTTTAGTTCCCTTAGGAAGATCAACCAATTGCCAAGTATTATTATTCATAATAGATTCAATTTCACTATTTAATCTTCAAAGAATTCAGCATCTCGAGATTCAAAATTGTATTGACATGAATGTCACTTATATCAGATTTATGCACAAGAAATCTGTACGCACTACTATTTATTGCATATCCGATAAAAATGCAATCAATAGTTTTAGGACCTAACTTAATCTTTTTGGGAGGTGGAATAGCCACTTTAGCTAGGCACCCCCACACTTTTAAGTATTTATAGGAAGGCATTCTACCTTTCCATAACTCATAAGGTATCGTACCAGTTTTCTTATGGGGAACTCTATTCAGAATAAAGTTAGCAGTTAGCACTGCTTCCCCCCACAAGTTTTGTGGTAATCCAGAACTTATAAGCATAGCATCAACCATGTCTTTTAGAGTTCTATTTTTCCTCTCGGCAATCCCATTTTGCTGCGGAGTATACGGGGCTGTTGTTTGGTGAATAATACCAAACTTAGCACATAATTCATCAAACATGGACGAATCATATTCACCACCTCTATCGGATTTTAATACCTTAATTGTTTTTCCAAGTTGATTTTCAACTTCGTTTTTGTAAGTAACAAATGCATTCAATGCTTCGTCTTTGCTACTTAATAAATAAACTTGGCAATATCTACTGTGATCATCTATAAACGTGATAAAGTATTTTTTACCACCTCGAGTCTGAACAAATTTTAGATCACAAATATCGCTGTGTATTAAACACAACGGTTCACTACTCCTTTCAATTGTGTTAAAAGGTTTTTTAGTAAATTTTGCTTCAACACAAATTTCACATTTATGTTTATCTTCGGAGTCAAGTTTAGGTATAAGACCTAAACCTACAAGTTTTCTTAAGGAAGCACGATTTACTTGTTCTAATCTGCTATGCCATAAATTCGAAGATTCAAGCAAGTAAACAGAAGCATTAGTTTTATTGATAACTTGTGGATACAGATATGTGAATTTTTTGTCCACTACAACAGCATTGGCCTTAAATAGACCATCAAGTAAATAACCCTTCCCAACATACATGCCCCCCTTAGTAAGTACAAATTTATCAGATTTAAACACCATTTTAAATCCTTTCTTACTAAGAATAGCTCCTGAAATCAAGTTCTTTCTGATATCTGGGACATGTACAACTTCATTAAGCGTCAGTTCCTTCCCCGATGTGAATTTCAGAATAACCTTTCCAATCCCTTCAATATTGGATGTTGTAGAATTTTCCATGTAAAGACACTCATTATGATTCAAGGTCTTATATTCAGCGAATAGACCCTTATCTGCACAGATGTGATGAGTGGCTCTTGTGTCCAACCACCAATCCTTGGCATTAGATACCAAATTAACTTCAGAAACAACAGCAGATAAGTTGATGTCTTCAACATCCGTAGAAATTTTATCCACTTCGGTTATATTGGCTTGGGGCGGTTTCTTTTTCTGCATATCCTTCTTTTTGCTTCGACAGTCTTTAGCCCGATGTCCCGGCTTCCCGCAAGTATAACAGTTGCCTTTGAACCGTTTTGCATTGTTAACTTTTTCTTTGTCCATAGATGAGCCAGAACGCTTCCTTTTCTTGTTCTTAGAACCCGAGTCTTCCACCATGTTAGCTTTTGCTTCCATGATGCGGACATTATTCTTCTTTTCTGCAGCCCGGTTGTCTTTTTCAATGCGAAGTCGAACAATTAGATCCTC